CTCCTATCAGAATCCATGTTTTAAAACCACATTTAAAAAAGAAAATTGAATAACGATCGAAAACGAACTAGTTTAAAGGTGAAGGTATTTATGTGGAGAATGTGATTTTCTGGGTAAAGGCAATCTTAAAAGGGTCTGTTTGATCAATATATAGTTTCTCGCTACACTTCCGCTCCATGGGACATCCAAACTAATGCCAGTCACTTTCATGAACATTAGCTGTTTTCAGGACAATCTAAGCCGTTTGATGGACTATTCTTTCTGGATTTCATCAGTTTCTACGAACAATTCCTCTTGTCGCGCAGCTGGTTCAGTTCAAGAACAACTAGTGACATCGGCGACAACGAACAATCTAGAAACCACGCATAAATGATCATAAATATTACGGCTTTTGTCTCAGAAACTTCAGAGAGATGTCTAGATTAAGCAATCCCCTTTGAAAGTGATACTCTATGGAAGAGTAACACCCGTGTTTATGGAACAGTGCCTCAAAATTTCACATTTCAATCTATGTTCAAGTTGTTTGCTTTATTCTCAAACATAGCTCCATTGTCTTTTGACGCCATTAAGGGTAATTAGTGGTTGGCTTGAAAATGAAAACCAGGTATTTCTGACATATCAATATACCGATCATTCCTTGATAGTGAACTTGAACGTAGTGAAACGGTTCAATATTCCACTGCTCTCGACAGAACACCTAAGGTACGTGACTTAACATAACGCGCACGCGCCTGAGAAGGGGAGGAGGGGAACAACACAAGAAAGTGTGTCACCCCCTTTCTTCGCGAGAGTAATATAAATAGCAATTTGTAAAAAAAAAAGAAATAAATAAAAGCAAAGGGTGTTATCTGGACACTCTTAAGCAGGATCTCACCAGTTGAAGAGTTCTGTTGGCAGCCTTACTGGAAACAAATAGCGAACAAATTTATAATTGAAGTGGTTAGGAAAAGAAAAGAGTTGCTTTTAGGACGCTATCAGGAAAAAAAAGTATCTCTCAGTTTACTTTTCTTCTTCTTGGGGGAAGAAGATTTTCGTAGTACTGAGTCCCTCGCGTGCACACCAGACTGGGCACACCGGAAGTATGAATTGCCTCGGTTCAGCTTTGCGCTTCCATAGGCAACAAAAAAAAGAGAATCAAGATGCTATCATCATTTTTAGAAACTTACATAATTCACCGCTTCTAATCTGGAATTAAGTGAACAGGTTCATTGTGTTTTATCAGAGCAAGAATGCAACTCAAAACAAAGAAGATATCATGCTCAATTAACACTGGATTTCTTTTTTTGAAAAGCACTTTTAAAGAAGAAAAACCAGCATAATTTTGAGCACAGGTCTACAGCAAACGGTCATGGTAATTGATTATAGTGTCAACTTTCATTCACTGTTGTTGACCATCATGTTTACGTTCAATATTTTCATGGTAGTTGATGGTGGTTGAAAAAAAACACGCAATGAGGTCGCATATTGTAAACAAATTTGGCACGCGCTGAGGTCAGAAATTTCGGTGGCATTTTGAATCATAGTCAAGAAGTTGCGAACGGAAAATACTGAAGACTACCAGCAGATGATGAGAACGAACTACCATTTCATGTACCATTTCGATTTGAGACCGTTTTTAGAAAGAGTGCTGACTGAAAAGTTATCATTCACTCTTTGATGTTAGTTGATTATAGTCAATAATAGTGCATATTATTATTCAACTGTGAGCAGAGTACAAATAGCGCCTAAGACGAGTACAAATATCACGCAATATTTGTGCTCCAGAAATATCCACGAAACTCGCCCGTGCTGAAATAAAAAATTTGGCGTGTTGGATAATAAATGTGTTATAAGTAGTTTTTTTGTGTATTTGTCTCTGCATCTCCCACAGATGCAGAGGCAAATTCCCACGTCAAAATTTTGACGAGACTGAAAATGGACTGGCGCACTGAGGTAGTTTTATATTTGATTGGTTGGGAAGGTTGCGCAAATCTTTTGGAGCAAGCACTTAGTCTTGCTAAGAAATAAAACTAGACAAATTCACTTCTGGATACCTCTTTAGACGCTCTTTGAACATTTCTTTCACTAGTACAAAATGTTAGGGTTAGAAAAAAACTGGGCCACTAGGCGAAGAGAAAAAGAAGAAAGAATACACTAGTATTTTCTGTATCCCCGCAAGGGTGGCTTCAACCGACTGGGGTAGGTAGCATGGGATATTATTTTGATTGGTTACAAACAAAAAATAATGGCTCGTTGTGTTACATCACGGAAAGAGCGACCATTCAGCAGTTTCAAGTGAGTTACTTGGCGTGTTAAAACATGTTTTTAACAACCAAAGTCGGTTATCTACTCCAAGAGCTATCCATATCTCATCCATCAGAGAGCTTACTGCTGCCACGATACCTGCCCTAACTCGTAGTAAATTTCTGATTACTTCGCTCAAGTCAAGGAAAAGGGAAACTGATTTCCCACAAGAACACACACGCACACAAGGTGAACGAGTCAAACAGTTATGACTACTCACAGACTCAGAGCTAATCGAGAAGTTCAAGGGTTCGGTCATTTTCTTAAACGCAAAATCCGAACAAGTGGAAAATATCCCTTCCGTAAGTGTCTCAAATCGATCGGCTGAGCTAATTACATGCGAAGAATTTCGGTTGAAACTGCTTACTAATCGCTCTTCTTGAGATGCTTCATACAACAAATGGGCACTTCTCTTCACCGACCACAATCTCAAGTGCGCGAATTAACTTTGGATGACGATTTTCTTACGTCTGCAAGCAACTATTTTCTGTCAGTGCCAAGGCTAAAGAGGATTTCTTCACTTTTAGCGTTCTGAGTATCCCTATTGAGGATTCCGAAAACACTAGTGCTTGTGGTTAGGGATGAGTCAGCCGCCATTCCTGTGCTCACCTTTCTGTAGACGAGACCTTTTATTGCGTTACTCAATCTGATGCCCAATATTTCACACGCATAACCACGATGCTGCATGGCGAGGCTGCCGATCAATGTGTTTATAGTCATGGCTGCTGCTAGCAAACAACCGTGAAGTATAGGGTTTGTATGCGTTCCAGGTGACATTAACATGAAAATAAGATATCCAATAAGCAGTGGTGTGACGAGAGAGCCAATTCCATAGAGGACGCCAGGGAGATAAACATAGGCAGCCTCCCTCAGAGAAAGCGTCTTCAAAACACTTTTCCAGAGCCTCGGCCTTTTATCCTTTCTCGTGCAATAAGCTTTTTCTTCTTTCCATTTCTTCGCGAGACGAACAGTGACTGACTGTGAGGTGTCCTCATTGGAGAGTGGTTCAAAATCGCTTTCCTCCAAGGCTCGTTGATTGCCTGTCTTCATGACATCATTCATGCATTGAAACAAAAGGATAGAGACAAAATCAACTTTCTCAGCAAAGTCATTGGTCGAGGTGATCTTCCTGCAGCCATTGGGCGCCATGATTCTAAACCTCCATTCGTATAACGAGAAAACACGATCAATATAAGGGACCCATTCGTTATCTTGTAGGTGGCGAAGAGGAGGGGGGATTGAAAAGTTTGAATTTTGATCCTCCCCCCCCAAAAGGCTCTAGAACATTTTTATCAACCCCTCCCTCCTCCTCCCCCCTTCGTCGGTGGTTAACTAACACTCCATTTTCTATGTTTTCCCTTTCTACTCTGTTAAGGAAGATCGATCTCCTGTCCTTTTCATTTTCCCAATGAAAATATGTAAACCTCCCTAAAGTCCACCGGCCCCTCCCCTCTCAGGTGATAAACAATGTTCCCTAAATGTCCCAAAGTTTAATTACAAATTCAATATAGGAGCAAATAGAGTGTGAGGGATGATATATCTCCTGACGTGCGCAGATTTATTTTCGAAAGTCTTAACTCGGTTAACCCGCAAAGTCTTATTGGTCTCCTCCGCGGCCATCGTTTGGTCGTGTCACGCAACGAGCTCGTCCCGCGAGATCTGCAATTGCTTGTTTATAAATTTTTAATCGGAATTGTTTTGAGCAGTGAAATCCGCGATTACTTTTCACCACCGAAATAGTAAATATGGCGTCCATTTCCTCTTTGACCTCGAACAAATTCCCCTAAACTACGCCAGTTTATCTTTTTGATACAATCATTCTCACCCATGGGCTAAGTAAAGAATACAAGATGTATGGCAAACTGCTAAAACATCCACGGCCATCTATTACGTGCAAGAAAGTCGCACTACATGCGTGTGATCTCCTTCCCAAAAACTGTACATCATCGATCTGTCACGCGAAGCTACAGAAATAGTGAAAGCACGGACAAGACGTTTCTTTCCGTGGAAATTTCGATCACGATAAGGGACAATAAACCTTTCAATTATATGTAACTACTTTTTCTTTGTTCTAGTGGATAAATCGTTCTTTTTGGCATGATTCACATGGTTTACTGCGAGTATTCCCTTCCTCTTCAAATGGAACGCACTACTAGCAATAACACAAAATTGCAAATATTCCCGCTCCCCTGAAGAACCGATGGAGAGAGATAGACACCCCTTCCTGAATCAAAATGGAGTCGTATAACGGCCGATCTTGACATATTAAAAGCGCCTTGAATGGACTTTAAAACAATTCGGATTAAAACACTTACCTCCGTCAGTTGTTTAGTAAGGTTTCACGTCTTCTCTTGTGACTCTCGCTTTGCTGGAAAAAATTCGGGCCTTTCCCAAATCAAAATCAAAGTTTTCAGTCGATTTCATAGGGTGTGCTTGTTGGGCTCCACTATAGCAACGCGTTTTCGTCGAACACAGGCAAAATTTAACCGATTTTACCCAAATTTTCGACAGCAAGTGCCTCGTCCATGTGCATGCATCCGCCATGCTAAATTTTACTCGCGACATTACAAATACAGCAAGATTTCATTGGCTAAACTAGACCTCAGCCCGAGTGGTTGCCATGGACGCCAGATTTATGCAAATACATAATTTGGTATTAACCAGAGAAGTAATAATTAACTCGATGTTTCTTGTAGGACGCACGCGCGAACAAAAAGCAGAAGAGTTAAGCTGAGAACGAACAGAAAGATGGATCGCTGCCATTAGCCGCGACGACATCACTTCGAAGGATGTCCTTAGTAATGAAAGAATCTGTGAACAACACGTCGTGTCAGGACAATCCGCAAAACCTTGGGATAAGTACAACGCCGACTGGGTTCCTACTTTGACTCGCAGGAAGACAAAATATCGACAGGAAAACTACGAAATTAAAGAGGTAAGAGCTAAACGGGCGAACGAACGTCGTAAAAGATCACTTGAGGGTCAAAAAGCGAGGCAGCTGAGAAACGAAAGAAAAACGATGTCAGTCTCAGCTAGTCCAGCTTTACAACCAAGGCGGGGGGCTGATAACACGTTTCCCTCCTTATTAGTAATCCTAACTGCTCATTCATTCGTTGAGAATGTCCCACCTTTCTGATCACCAGGAATTTTTCACCCATGACTTTCCCTAGAACACTGGAAATAAAACCCGAAACCCTATGGTTGTAGGCCTCTAAGCTCCTGAAAGCTTTGAACTGTTTCTTTGTGTAATAACTCGTATCGATAACCAAATAGCACAGGAGATCTGTAGCTTCTATGGGTGGTAAACATTGTTGATCTAACTTTGCGTCGATCAATGTAGCGGGATTAATCCCCACGAGTGATATTTTTTCAAAATATCTTTGTTGAACATGTGGCTCTAGTCTTTTTACATAGTCGCTTAAAGGTATAATGCAAATATCTTCCTTTTTTCCTTCCGGCCTTTTGATGTTTTGATCAGAATTTTTTTCAAATCACTCGACATATTTTAAAGAGTCACGCACCACTGCATTTTGACATATGCTAATACGCTTCGGCGATACCAATATAACGAACGCCTAATTTGCATATGCTGTGACGTCATGTGAAAACCAAGAATAGTAGAAAGACAAAAATACAGTTGCTTGAAAATAATAAGAAACACAAATTCTAATTGCTACAATGACAACCAAGAGAATATCTTTATATTTTCTTACTGACAACTTAATATACAAAATTAGGTTGGAAAATACTACTACCATTAATTTTGGGAGAAAAACTTGGATCGTATTTGCTGGAAAGATAATTCTTAGTTTGTTTGACAGATTCCGCTCTAAGTGAGAGTTCGGTACAGGTGAAGGAAAATACATAAACAAAAACAATTTTAGGACTCTCGGTAAAAGTCAACCTCGTTCCCAGGACCTTTCCCCTCAGCTTGGGGTGGGGCGGCAGTGGGGCCCCACTCCCAACTAAGGGAAAAGGCCCTGGAAACGAGGTTGGGTAAAAGTAGTACTAGATAGATAGATAGATAGATAGCCTTTATTTTAAAACGATGAGTATTAAAGCTATATGAGCTTGTGGGGTCGTTGTGGGACATAAGAGTTCGTAAACCATAGCAAGAGAATATAAATTAAGAGAACTTATCTCACATGCATACCCCTCTTCCAATGATATAAATGGAACGCAAAGTTAGGGAGATCCAACGCAGAGAGAGATGGGTTTATTTTAGCCGTGAATCACGCACTAAGTTCGAATTGAATGTCGGGCAAGATGTGGGCTGCGAGGCTGCTCTTCCTGTTTCAATTTGGTTTGTTCAGTCAGCGGAGAAAACTCAGCGTTTCGCGGACAGAAAAATCGAGAAAGTATGCCTCCTCATTTCGTGTTAGCGTAATTTTCACTCTTCTCTTCTGTTGAGGAAAAAAACAGAACAAATAATTTTTTAACCTCGCTCATCCTTTTTGCACAAATCCACTGCGTTCATATTGACGCAGTCATGAACATTAAATGAGGATCTTTAGCAATTAGGACAGCAACGCCAAGGAAGATGTCGATTAAATAATAAATTTCTGCTTTTAATTAGAATTTCGGAAATGGCCGTATGTGTTTCCCAGCTCTAACGGCACCACACCTCATCTCAGTATAACGTATATTAGCAGGGTTGAGTTCAAGATGGAGGACGACGCAAATTTTAGTGATTTCAAGTTGTTGTTTTGCAAAGGAAGGCTAAGAAATATACAACGTTTAACGTTTTTAATGTACAACGTTTTAAAATGCACGTGCTGGCTATTGTTCTACCGATTAGATCTTTTGTTTTTCCACGTCCTCGTTGCCGTCGCCGTCGTGGTTTGCTTAAGGTCCCTAATAACTTGGGCGACACGGTTAGGTTCCACTACAAGAAAATTTTAACTTTTCTCTTTATTATCTTTATTCTTTTTGCGTGGTTTACCATTACTGTAGTTTCTCTTAAGGTACACGGCTAGATTCCAACAAGATTTTGACTTGAATCTGAGAGAAAGGGTAACATCATAAGGAACCATAACGGTTAAAGGTTAATTTATTCTGCGATCGGAAATCTTTTTCAAAGTACTAATTGTCTTCAACAGTCGTAAAAATACGGGGAGCAGTCTCCGGAATGAAAACGGTCTCAGTCACTGTGATATCAGATGTTGAAATACCCTTGTTGTTTAAGAAGTGCGTGACCACTTCGCAAACATCAGTTAGGAAACAGTTATTTGGGAAAAAAAACAAATGTAGCGGCTCTTTCCAGTTCCGAGAGAAAAGAACTAAACTGCCATGTGAGACGTTTGTAATGATGGACATTCAGCTGAAAGTAAGAGTTAACTTTTTAAGTCGAATGGTCGGCGTCTAAACTTGAACATATAAACAAAAGTTCATTTTATTTTACTTCAACGTTTCTTTTAGCAAAAAATTGTCGCTTGTTTGAACTGTTTCAAAATTGTTAGGTTAATATTCGACTGTCCAACTTAAGCGACGAGAGTTCGTGAACTGTTCATTTAAAGGAAACTGTTTTCGATAACTTAAAGATCTCTGTGACGTTAACATGGTAAAGTTTATCATTTTAATACAACTTGTATGATCAGATAAAGAAGAAATTTGGCATGTTCACCTTTCTAAATTTCGATACTAGGTGAGGCCGGGGTTTGTACAGCAAGGGATTAGAATATTTTGATGTAAAAACCATTTTTGAACTGCGTTCCGCTAGAGCCGAGAATCTAAAGGTCCCTTTTTAACCAAAAAATTATATTTTAAAATGAAACTCACCTCACTCAGCTAAGGACGAAAGTCTGTTTCCGAGAGAATTTTTACAACCGAATGTTCAGGATAGTGAAAGTACCCTAGTTTGTCTCAAGTTTGTAGATAACTTGCAGTTTTGATGGTTGCTTATTTTAACCTTTTGTTTGCGTCAGTGCTTATGCGAGCCTCGAATTGTGTCCGATGATTAAAGAAAAAAAAAATGGTCGCTCGACCACATGTCAACCAAAGGGCAAGAATATTAACAACATCCAGCTTTGACGAATAAATGAGTTGACTTTCATTTCAGTTTTCAATCAACTTGTTTAATGATCAACGGAAAGATATTGTTGGAAATACTTTTGGTTGAATTTATTTGCTTTTTCATCGCAAATGGAACATGACAGATTGTATAGTCGATACAATTGAATACATTTACGAAGTTGATTGTGTTTTTAATGTATAATTAGTCAACTCGATGAGTTTAATAAAGGCTTCAAGTATGAAAATGAAAATAAAACTTTGAAAGAGTGTTATACGTTACTCTTATTAGAATCTATGTTTTAGAATTACCATTAAAGAAAGAAAATTAATGAATGAATGAAAACGAATTAATTGAGAAATGAAGGTATTTATGCTGATAGTAGTATGATATTCTGGGAGAATCTAATAATCTTTTATTAGAATTCCGCTCCGCGGGACATCGCAAATGATGCCAATCACTTTCATGGACATTAGCTCTTTTCAGGACAATCAGGGGGGATAGCTGGACTGTTCCTTCTCGGTTAAAGCAGTTTCTACAGACATTTTCTTTTGTCGTGCAGTTGGAAGTTTAACAACAGCCAGTGTCATCGGCGACAACGAACAATCTAGAAACCACGCATAAATGGCCATAAATATTACTTCTTTTGTCTCAGAAAGTTTACAGAGATTTCTAAATTAAGCAATTCCCTTTGAAATTGATGCTCTGTGGTAGAGTAGCACCCGTTTTTATAGAACAGTGCCTAAAAAATTTTCAATTTTGCTTCTTAACCAAGTGTTGATATTTCTGACCATGTTCAAGCCGTTTGCGTTAATCTCAGACATACCTTAATTGTCTCATGACGCCATTAATGACTGAATAGCACTAGTAGGGTAATCATTGAACCTCTTTTTGATATTGTTGTTAACGGTAACCTCATTGAGGAAGTCCCGCATGCTAAATTGCTTGGCATAACGATTGATTCCTTTCTTTCCTGGGAAAGCCACATCAGAAATATGTGCTCTCTCATTAGGAGCAGACTTTCTCTTCTGAAACGTGTCAAACCATTTCTTACTCATAACTACTCTTTGAATTACTATAACTCTTGTATCCACTCTTCTTTGTTGTACTGTTCCCCTGTTTGGGGTACTTGCCCTAAAACTCTTCTTCTCCGTCTACTTCGTCTTCAAAAATAACCAGCTCGCCTTATCCTTGACGCTGACTGGTATCAGTCCTCAGTAAGTCTCTTTGCCAAACCCAAATGGCTCCCCATTTTCCTCTTAGTTAACCTTGGAAAGCTAGTCCTCCTCTTTAATATTCTTAATAATCCTGAGGCACCAAGCTGTCTCAAACATTCTTTCCATTTCTTGTCTTCTAGACGAATAACTGGTGCTACTACTAGAGCTTGTAACCTTGACCTTCAACTTCCTTATCCCCGCCCAAACTGCGGTAAACGCACTTTCGCTTCCAGTGTAGCCTCGCTGTTCAATTGTGTTGACTCCGACCTTAAAGAGGTTCTACGCTTCCCAAATCCCTGTACCTCTTTTTTGACTAAACTGTCTGCCTTCAAAGGCAAAGTTCTCTCTCGTTTTCTAACCTTTACCTCTCGTGCATCTCACCTGGAAACGTTGCTTTGTCCCAATTGTCGCTACAAACTTCGTTGCAGTTGTGCATCATAGTCTTTTGTTTTTAGTTTTTCCAATAGTTAATCTCAATCAACAATGCTCCATGATACTCTGTAAGTTTTTTCTATTTTCACTCATATGTATATACATGTTCATTTATTATTTATACTTTGTCATTATTTGTTTTTTTCATATTTTATGTCAATGTTTCAGTAGTGTGAGGGCCTCATGTTAGATAACTCCTTGGGTTAACGAGCGTCCCTCCTTAAATAAAGTTTATTGATTGATTGATTGATTGATTGAGTGGTTGGCTTGAAAACTAAAATTAGACTTATCAGACATATCAATATCCGATCATTCCTTCATAGTGAGCTTGGGAGCGAAACAATTCACCGCTCTTGCCAGAAAAACTCAGATAAGTAACTGAATTGCGTGTGTGTATGAAAGTGAGGCGGGGGAAGCACAGGAGTCTACGTCACCTTCTCCCTTTCTTCGGGAGGGTAATATAAGTAACAATTTGTGAAAAAAAGATTGAAAAGAAAGGGTCTATTCCAGAAAACCTGAGGCAGGACCCTCCCATCTCCTGTTGAAAATACTGCCAAAAGTCCTACTTACAATCAAAGAGCGAACAAATCGCCTACACGACCTCAGTGTGTATTTAAAGCTATTAGGAAAAGAAGTGAGTTGCTTTTCGGGCGCGATGAAGATAAGAAAGATATCTCACCTAATATTTTTTTTCTGTTATTTTTGCACTTTTACTCACGCTCTTATTAAGGTCGTATTTGCACTGCGTAACGGCACAGAATCTAGCTTGGAGTGTATTGAGTAACATAAAGGACGAAAGTGCAATTAAATGATATTTTCATACTTATATTTTGTGGATTCATGTACTTACAAATTTTTTTTGTTAATCTGGTATCTTTTTGAGATTTTGAGACAGGATTCGATGCTCACCAAGACATAAAAAACCGCGACGTGGATCGTTTCCTCCCGTTCTTGGCTGTCCAAAGAGCCCAAACATATATAGAAATAAGTTAATTAAAAACAAAATCAGGCTCTCAGGCCCTCGGGCCCCTTTCAGAGAGGGAGGGAGTTGTATACTTGTTTCCATAGGGATTAGTAAAGCATGGATGACCACCAAAAAACGTATATTTAACCGGAAAATTCACTATTTATCGTTAAGGAGGGAGGGGGAGGGGTGGAGAATCTCTGGTGGGGAGCAGTCGTCGCTAATAGAGTGTAGAGGGAGAAATTGACTGACAATTTATTGTAAATGAGGAGATATCATAGAAACAGAGCCTGATGGGGTTGGAGGGTAAGGTGAAGAATACTTTAACTTCAACCCCCACCTTGCCCCCCCTCCCCACAAAGACGATAAAGCAGTACACGCCGTTCTCTGATAGAATATTTTCTTCTTTATTTAGACCTCGATTTTACTCCCAAGTAAAGTACAGTTTGATTATTCGATTAGCAGAAATTCATAAGACGTGTCTGTCAACCCCGGCTTTACCTCTGCATTAGTAATTTTCCTGTCCCTGTTTGCGAACCAATTACTATAAAGCTTCTTTAGAGAATTTATGGTGGATTAACTAATGCTCCGATTGACATTTTTATTTTTTCTTATCATTTGCCTGCTTAACATTGCATCGATATTGTAAGGACGAAATGTGTTTTGGAGTCTTCGTTAGTCATGAGAATTTAGGGGTTAATTCGTAGGATGAAACTGCTTAAAGCGCCCCTCTCACCCGCTACCTCGCGCAAAGCAATGGCGCGTAAACTGGGAGGTGGGAACCGCCCTCTTTGACGTCACTAGCTTTCTCTTCATAACTTTTCATAAATGCGGAAGAAGCAGTTGTGCATTTGAAATATGATATTTTTTTGATTATTAGGAAGAAGGACTTTGAAATGGGGACTGGAGCTTCAAAAACTGGGAAGCCAAACGATGAGAACACTGATGGACAAAAGATGGTGTTACAAATCATAAACAAGTGCGTAAAAAACGATGGGTCGAAAGTTAAGCCATCTCCTAGCGTGGAGCTGGAGGTTGATATTCGAGACATGGCCTCTCCCGATATCAATGTTATGTTCATCTGTAGTGAGTGGGGCTCTACAAAGGGAGGTCTCTCTACTTTCAATAGAAAGCTGGCCGTGAATCTAGCGAAAGTACCAAACGAAAGAATCAAGGTTCACTGCTACGTATCTGAAAGCAGTGAGGCGGACAGGCGCGATGCAAGCAGTAAAGGAGTGAATCTCATTACTGCTGAACGCTCTCCGGGATCTAGTGGTCCGTTGGACTGGCTAAAAACTCCGCCGCCAGATCTAAAGCTAGATATCGTAGTAGCTCACGGCAGAAAATTTGGTAGTGCCGCTTATTTCATTCAAAAGATCACAAACTGCCGTTGGATACAATTCGTGCATGTCTATTGCGAAGCACTCGGAAAATACAAATTAGAATCCGGCTTCACGGGAGATGCAATTGCAGATAACGAAGAGAAGAATCGACGAGAACTAGAGCTCTGCAAAGCATCCAATTTAGTCGTTGCAGTAGGCTCTCTATTACAAAGAAAATATCAAAGAAGCTTGCCAGATATCAAGGTAGAAGTTATTACTCCAGGGATTTTCGAAGAGTATACTAATCTGACTGCAACGCAATCCGTGCGTAAATTAACAGAGGAAGAGTTTAGCATCTTTATTTTTGGTCGTGGAAGCTTTGAGGACTTTGCTCTTAAAGGGTATGATATAATTGGAAAGGCTGTGGCTTCACTGGAAAGAAAATTCGAGCTCACATTTGTCGGTGCAAGACAAGATGAACCACGGAAGATAGAAGAGTGGCTCCTAGAGGAAACGAATATATCGCGCAACCAGTTAACCATTCGTGGATTCTGCAATCATGAAGAAATGAAGAGGATGTTACGTGAAGCGGACTTAGTAGTCATGCCATCTCGCACGGAGGGCTTTGGTCTAGTTGCGCTGGAGACTATATCAGCTGGTGTGCCTGTTCTTGTCTCCAGTGAAACTGGAATAGCCAAAGCCCTCCTAGACTTGGAAGATGGTATGTCTGTGGTTGTTGAATCAGAGAAATCAGAGGAGTGGGCCAACAGAATCCTTCGGTTGTCAGAACAGACAGTAGAAGACAGACATACCAATGCCTTGCAGCTAAGAGATCAATATAACAAGAGGTATTCGTGGGAGAAAGAATGCAAGAGATTCGCGAAGATGATCCTAGACTTGGTGGAAAGTGCTCAAAATGAACTTCCCTTAAATATTTGTTTGACAGGTATGCTTTTAAAAACTGTTCCATTTTGACCTGTTTTTTATTTTTCTTTTTTTTCTCTTGTGAAGTCTGAATGACGTAATTTTTTTCCAAAGTTGATTTGGCGTACTTTACCTCAAAATTCTTCTACATTATGTACATTGCCTCCCAAATGAGGAGTTTTTTAGGAAGGTTCGGATGATTTAAGTAGATACTTAGGTTGCTAGGACTCCCCTGACGATGGACCAAGATTCCCTTGACTGGAATCTATTTGTGTACATTAATTGGATAACCCTTCATATTGGAACACCAAACACAAATTATTTGTCTGATCTGCACATCTAAAACTCTCAGCTCTCAGAAGATTAAAGCTCTCTCAGTTTCCAAGTTCTTCAGTTGCATTGTTAAAAATGTTTCCCTCTGAACATGTGGAATTCAAATTACTAAGTAGTGTCCTATATTTATTCCAGAAACCCTTTTTGAAGAGTAATGTTGATAAGTGTGGTTGCCATAGCAACATAATTACGTTAAAGAGTGAAGATATGAATGGTATATTCACTGGGTTCTCTGGTGACATCATGTTTTCATTTTATTCTCAGTGTTTATGATTTTTCATTGGGATCTTTGCGGACTTGATTTTAATCTGATCATGCTTCAATATGTAATTTCAGGGAACACAACTCTGAGGAATGCTCTGAAAACACTCAGAGCAGATAACATACAAGCTCCCAAAAATGAAGATGGGGGGCAGTTAAATGGAGGTGTGCATAAATTTGTACTATCAAAATATTTTCGTGGTTAAGAATGGCTCCAGGCAGTTATTACAGGTTACACAACTGGCACAAACTTATATTTATGAATTTGGACGATGGAAAAAAATGTTCTGAAATATAAAGAGTTTCAAAGATTTCACAAAGTGTTTCAGAAATGAAAAATACTTAATTGATGATTTATGTTTTTAATTACATCACTACAAGATGTTTTCATAGATCGGTTTCCTGTCCTAATAGTTGATGTTAAAGGCTCATGTTAACTTAAATAAATCTAGGTCAAAATTATATGATGTTAAACACATTAAAATTCATACAACCAAATTTATTAGATACGATCTATAAGGCTGGCATTTTTTTCTATTGTTTTAATTTTCTAATTTTTCAAATATCCCCTTAGAATCTTAAATCTCTTGCCAGTTTCATTCCATAATATAGGTCCATACAATCGAATATTGAGTTTACCACAGTTTGTTCGAATTTTTGGAACATAAAAAGTAGTCCTAGTTGCAAAGCGAGTGTTAACATTATGCTTATCTGAAGTTTTAAATAAAAAATGAGTAAAAAATCTTTGGTAATTTGCCGATAGAGAATTGGTACGTGAAGTAAAGAGTTTGAAGTTTGATATGATCATGAAGTTTTAGAATTTTAAGTTGAAAAAACAAAGGACTTGTATGAGTATCAAAATCAGAGAAGGTAATTAGACTAAGAAGGTAATTAGACGAAGAAGGCAATTAGACGAAGAGGGTAACTAGACGAAGAAGGTAACTAGATCAATTCAGTATTATTTTACATATTCAGACTGTATGCATTTTTTTCTTATACCGCTGCAGCTCAAAGCTCTTTAAATATAACCGCAGAACAAACATTTGAAAAAGCCAAGAAAGGACCAAGAAAAGCATCAGGTATGTATGATAATTAGACTGAAAATCTTTATTTCTGTCTGCACCATTTATCATATAATATGTAAATACATTACTTTTGTATTTCATCCTGTGTAGACACTTGTGATAAAACAGCAGAGCATACATGTACAACAGAAAGAAAGCCACCTGGGCAGGGGGCAGGTATCTATGTTAAACTCATTTTGTAGAATGCCAAAAAAGGAAATTTTACTTAAATTATAGGAGGAAAATCTATCTTCTATACTAAGATGATGGTATGAGTTAATAATTCTCTGCACAGGTGGAGCCAGCCTCTTCTTTAGTTTGCATACGGTCAACAGCTGCCTCTACGGCTTTCAGAAGAATTTTATAATGCGAAAGTTCCTAGCTTTTTTAAAAACTGATTAAGAATTATTCTAGTTAATATAGCACAGCCAGTAACATGCAGTTTGCATGAATTGACTAAAGTTCCTTGAGGTAACAAATTTCTTTCAAACCCAACATCAGCTTGTTGTTTAATTTCATTAAATAGATGGAAAAAAAACTAATTGGGTGCATAAGGAATTACTATATGTTAGGAGGTGGATTTATGAATTTATAAAAAAATGTGATAAATCAGTTTCCTGTGTAGACAATGTAAAGAGAGGAAAGGAAAAAGACCAATCAGCAGGTATTTATATTAATTGCCTTGTCAAAATTTTATCAAGTTACATTTGAATCAGTAACCTTGATTGCTTATACTGCCAACCTACAGTTGAAAAAAGCCAGCTTTTTCTTCATTATGTGTTTGCAGTCTACAACTGCCTTATGCTTTCTACAGCTATTATCACAATTGAGGGACAGGTAAATTAGAAGCTGTTTCTGGTTTATGTTCTGGTTTGGGTCTTATGTATACAAAGTACCATATGACGAACACTTCCACTCAATACTAAGAAAACCGCTTGGATGAAAAACTCCTTAACTGTATATAAAAAAGCAGCATTTTCATTTTCACTGACCTCTTCAAACCATCATAGGACTTAGAGCAGGTAACTATCCTTTATTGAATGGTCCGAGACGAACTGCATGAAAGTCAAGTTAACGAAAACATGGGACCTTTTTTTTACGAGGAAAGACTTCCAAGACGCCTCCTGAACCCCTGGAGATCATAGGGAGGAAAAAAAAACTGAAACTATTGGGTGTTACCTTTGAGCAAGTGCCAGTTAATTGGGACACTCATATTGATTATGTACTTAGTAAGGCTAGCAGTGGGTTGTATATTTTAAGAATATGTAAATATTATGGCTACTCTGTTGAGAATTTGGACTTACTTTTTCAAAGTTTGATTCTTTCAGTTTTTACATATGCTATTAAGGTCTGGGGGTGCGCTTTTTATAGTAAATATTTAAGTAGAATTGATACTGAAGCTCTTTGCCAGGTGTTATAAGCTGGGTTACTGCTTAAAGCAGCACAGTATCTTGGATATCCGTCGTAATAGAGATAAGAAATTTTGGCAAAGGATTTCTTCCACCAACACTGCGTTGAGCGATCTCTTACCTCCCCAGAGAACACGGTAGTTGAGAACTAGGTCGCATAATTATATTATACCTAAGGTTCAGACAAGCCGTTTTAAATCATCTTTTATTAATAGATGTCTTTTCAATAGTAATTAAGACCTTTTCCATTTCCTTATTCATTCTATTCATGTTAATTGTTGCACGTCTGTTTGCACAATAATTCTTAATAAAGACCTTTATTATTAATTTCCTCTGGTGTTGATTTCTATACAGATCCGGAGACTTCAAATGAAACAAGAGAACAAAGACAGGGAAACATGGAAGAAGTGCAAACAGCAGGTGTGCTACATTTTCTTACTCTAGTAAAAAAAGAAAGACAAAAGAGCAAAAAAAAGATATCTTTAAATGAAGTTTGTCAGATAGCTTGACTCAATCATTTTTAAAATATGAGCAGAAGTTATCCTCAGAAACAAGTCAATTCACTTACGATAACTTCACCATCGCT